GAAGGGGGCAAAAGGCGCGGGGAGAGGCCCCTTTATTTCTGGGGCCCGTCTCGCTTCCAGATGGGATAGGTAAGGGCATCGATTGGCAGCAGCCCTTCCCTGCCAGTCCATCAGCCCGTCAACTGCTAGGTCGCCCTCCTTGTCCCGGCGGGCTGCTGGCGAGGCGGAGAGCCGGGGCGCGGCGGGGTGGCGCCCCCCCCCCCCCCCCCCCGAGCGGCACGGGCGGCTGCCGGGGGAAACGCTCGGGGGAGACGCTTAACCCTTTGCGCTCCCGAGGGGACCTACACAGCGGGGGACTTGGAGGGGGGGTGTCTGTATGTGGAGGGGGGGGTATTTTTTGCCTCTTTACGGGATTTTGGAGGTGATCGCAGGGTTGCACAGTCCCAAGGAAAGCTCCGAGACCCGGCAGTTCGGGATGATCGCGTCTGAATTCCAGCGCTGAGCTCCGGGAAAGATTTCAGAGGGGGAGGTTCCGTCCTGTCGTTGGAATGGGTCGGGAGACGAGCCTTGTTCGGCGGCAGTTCCCAGGCTGCCCCCGGGGATACCCGGACCGCCTCCTGAGCTTGTGCTTCGTCGTAGCACAGCTCACGCGTGGCCGGCGCTCCTCCTCGAAAGCCGTCTTCCCCTGCAGCCAACAAAGGGTTTATCCCAAAGACGTTCAGTGGGATTACCCCGGAGTAAGCGGGGAGGGTGGGTTTCCGCTTGCGGGCTTTCCCCCTCCCCCTCCCGTAAGAAAACTGGACACACAAACTAGTCGCAGAACTCCTGGATTTATTTTAAAGCTGTCAGACTTCCTAACACCCACCCGAATCCCGATTTCTGATTCCCGATAGTCCGGCGTTACTTATTCCAAAGTGAGCCCATTCCGTCCAATGTCGTTGTGATTCGTTGAGACTGACGGGCGGCCGATGGGGGCCAGCCAGAGAAGTCGATCAGTCTCCCGGTTGTCTTCGGAGCGCCTCCGTCCCGGGAGTGGTTTCGGGCTCAGGCATTTGTTGAAGCCCAAAGGTCCCGGGCTCCGCCGGTCCCGTCGAGGACAGCGCCTGCTCCCCTGAATCCAAGGGGACTTCCATCCGGGGAAGCGCAGCTAGGACAATCGCCTTGCAAGCCCTCGACGCGACTCAAGGGGGAGTAGGAACTAGGGAAAGGCGAATGTCCCGGGTTAGGCTCGGGACAGAGTCCTCGGACTACCTACCCGCCGCGAGTAATTCGAATCAGACGCAGGGAGCTTTCAGTGTCCCGACGAATAGTTTTATTTATTTTATTGATTTATCCTTCGATTTGTATCCCGCCCTGCCCCGAAGGCTCAGTGAGGGTGCCTGTCCCTTTGTGAGGTGTCAGGCGACTATTTGCTGACGGCGGAGGGTGTGTGTGTGTCGAACCACTGTGGGCGCGGAGGCACCTCCACCCCAGTCGAAGCCCGGTCGGCCTGACCGTAGGGACCTAGCTGGGGCAGGTCTGTGTCGGCCTGCCTGTGGCCTCTCTCGGGCGCTGGCCCGGCGGGGGGTGGGGGTGGGAGTGAACGGGGAGGGGTCTTTGGTTTCCCTGAAGGCCAGTTAGTCGCCCGCCCTCGGACGGTCCCTCGGCTGCAGCTGGGCTGGAAGAGAGGGAGGCGAGAGGGGGTTACGCCAGCCAGGAGGACGGGCCGGTGGAGAGGACAGGGCGGGAGGGGCGCCGGGCTGAGAGGCCGCGCCGGTGGGCCACCCCCCCCTCTGGAGCGTGTGCTGCCGGGGTGGGGGTCCGGAGCCAGAGAGAGCGCCGGGCCCTTCGAGAGCGGCTTCCAAGCCCGCCCCCCCCCCCCCCCCCCCGCCCTTTCCCGTCGCC